CACTTAACTCAGCCACTAATAGCCATTTAGTGATGACAATAAGTGAGAGGAAATGGTAAAACAATTGTAACTCCTTGGGTCGCCTTTATGCCAATTACTCCCTCTTAATCCTCATCTTCAATTCCTTTCCCTTTTATATTTGATTAAGTGTTAGCTGGTTTGTTCTTGACTGCATCAATTTTGGCTGCTAGATTTATTGGGTTTATTGCTTTTATTGCAGTTACAAACTGCTAAGTCTCTTGTGAACCTTTCAGTGTTAAAACAACCATAACTTCTTCTAGAAAAATGATATGAACAATCCATGAAATGCTCCAGAAAATAGACATCCGTAGCTTTCAAAGCATATAAGGATCATTCTCTAATTCATTATGAGTTGTCGCAACTTGCTTCCAAAGTCAGCTGATCTGCATAGGCAGTTTTGACGAATTTGTTACTTAAAATCCCACTTGTGCTATTTTTCTTTTCTTTGCTTGACAAATCTTACAAAACACAAAAACAAAGTAAATAGCTCAAAAATACAAGGAACTAACTAAGAAAAGACAAGTGAATTTGATGTAAAATATATATAAATATAAGCTTATCAATTGACACGACTAAAAGACTAGTTCTAGATGCTTTTAGAGATCCATGTATTGCTTGTTATTTTCATTTACTCACTGTTCAGATGGTGGAAATAAACTTGAAATTTGAACAAAAGTTCAAATTTGTAAATTAACATGCATCAATTTTCTTATTTAGATTCATAAACATAGAAATATAGAATTTCCGGGTGGAACAAAAAAATTGACTTTGGGACCGTTTAAATTCCATGTAAATATGTAGTTGTTATTACTGTATTTCCATGAGTGAGAGTTAAAAAAAAACTCAAGCATGAGTGACCACCATTGTTGCAACCACTACTGTGGAGCAAAAAATAATCAAGAAAAATATGGAGGCGACACATGGATTCTAGGGTAAAAAGAACAAAATTACCCTCAAGAAACACCGGAACTCCTACGCGCGAGCAATAGACAATCATCCCTCAATCAAGTAAAAAGTGCCCAAAATAGGTATTTATTCAAAACCTATTCCATCCATCCTCTTCGAATCTTCTCCACAAGGTAACCCCAAAACATTCATTTCAAATTATATTAATTAACTAATTAATTGATTTATTACCTAATTAATCTATTAATTGGCTAATTAACTACAAATTACACTCAAAAATGCCACAAGGGGCGGTCACCATCTCTCCAAAGGGGGCAAGGTAACTCCCAAAACATTCCTTTCAAATTATATTAATTAACTAATTAATTGATTTATTACCTAATTAATCTATTAATTGGGTAATTAACTACAAATTACACCCAAAAATGCCACCTAATTAATCTAAACACTTTTCCCTCAAAATTCTAACTTTGGCATTAGAGGTTCTTCGGCCGAAGCGCCCTGCCGCCCCCCCTCCCCCCAAAAAAAAAAATCATCATGGGCATGTGAGACTCTTGGCCTTGACTTAAGGTGTTATTTGTTTTGTAGGTGAAATTTTGTCCAAGATCAAGGAGGAGGAATAATTTGCATCCACAACTACCACCATAACCATCGTCATTGCCACCAACCCCACTCAACATCATTATTGTTGGCGCCCCATTACCCACCATCAACTATCATCGTTGATATTAACCATCAACATCACCACCGTCACAAACCCACACCATTTACAATCAACACCGTTGCCACCACCACCCCCCCCCTCAGCCCCCATTCATCATCGTCAGCATTGCCACCACCCATCGTTATGGGCGAAGCTACATGGGGACAAGGAGGAGCGGCCGCCCCTTCGATCTCCAGAAGCCACCATTAAGTGTGAGGATTGCACCCCTTTGGTCCTCTGAATTGCTACCGAAATCTGCTGCGCTACTTCGATGCATCTATGTTTTATGCTTCACTACTTCTCATGCGTTTTTTCCTTTTTATTTTTATTTTTAAATACCCAGGCCAAAACGACGTCGTTTTGGTCCTGGGATAAAAAGAACATAAAACGACGTTGTTAAGAAGGGATATGGTAAGGCTATCATTATTCAAGAGTTTGTTAAGTTGTTTGATAATATGACGAAGCTGAGTGTGCAGAGAAGTTTCAAGTCTGGTCAGATTCTCTTTAAAGGCCATTATACGCCACAACCGGTATATGTTAGCCAATAGGTACTTTAATGCAATGTTGAGCAAGGGAATAGAGCCCAATATGCATGCTTAAAAATTATATGAGTCACTTGGTTATGCCCACAAGGTGTTTGACGAATCACCCAACTTAACTATCTCTCTTAAATGCCACGCTTAGGAGCTACTGTAGAGAGAATTGATGGGAAGATACCTTGTATCTCTTCCATAACATGATATATGAGTCAAGGGAAATGATGAAAAGCCCAATAATTTAACCATACACATTGCTCTGAAGGCATGTGCAAGGTTAAGGCACTCACATATGAGAAAATAATACATGAGTTTGTGAAGAAACATGACAAGATTGCATTAAATAATCGACACCGCTACTACCACCCTCCCCTCGATCCCCTACTCACCATCATCATTGCCGGCGTCGCCACAACCCACCATTATCACCGCCACAATTAACACCACCTATAATCAACATTGCTACTACCACCTATCATCACCATCACCACTGCCACCTCCAACTGCTATCATATTGTTGATGCTGCCATTGTCGCCACTACCACCACCACTACCTACCAATATCATCTTTCCTACCACCTTCACCCACCATCAACACCGTCGCCTCCCACCCACCATAATCACCGCCACCCTCCACCATCATCATCATCACCACCACCCTCCATCAACACCACCCATTACCATCACCGACGTCACCACCACCACCACCATAATCACCTTCATGACTGCCGCCACCACCCATCATCATCACCAACATGATAATGATGTTACCAACCTTAAATTATAAGATAAGGATAATACTTGCATTCCTCATTAGGGATGAACTCATTGCTCCACTTGTAAATAATGTATCTTCAAGGCATAAATTTTATATTGAACTGTTCAATATCTTAATCTTTCTTTGAAGATCATACTTACAAAAATCATTCAAATGGTAGATCCTTTAGTCATTTAGATGTATAAAATAAATGAACGGGGTTTGCCATTAATATGTTACTTAATACCTACACCTTGATTTATTTGGTACATTTGCATACTAAATGATCTCTAATTCGAATGATTTTTTTATAGGAATAATCTTCAAATTTAGAGTTAGAAATTGAATGGTTCCGATTATAAAATTTTTACGATAAAAATATGTTACTTGAAAGTGAGGAATGAGCTCATCACGAAGTGAGAAATGCAGGAAGTATTCGTAAGATAATAGGAAGGATGAAAAAATTACTTAGTAACGCCCTAAACCTTTGGTGTGATATATATCCCACCCGTACGTTCATTATCTGATCATGGTGGTGAGTCGGTGAGTGATACTGAATCACGATTGATATAATGGGAGGTGATCGATTTCACGGGTGTCACCTGTTCATGCTTAAATAATAGACACCACATGCCTGTGCTCAAAAGGAAATAGCAATTTTACATAAACACTGTGTTTTGTCTTATCTTATGCATGCTTTTGCTTTTCAGGGGACAAATTACATAGTAATTTACATAGTTATTTGTGAAAATACTTTCATGTTAATAATGCCAGCTAACTTTTTTCAAAAAAGCTTTAGCTTTTGGAGGTTCTGAATGACCAAAAATAGCTGCAAAGTAGGAGTCTTAATATTAGTATCTTAGTTCTGAAATTTTTATAAAGAAAAGAAAATTAAGGACTAGAAGCTTAATTGATTCTTTGAACCATTAACTATTTGAACTTTCGAAAGTTGATTAAACCTATGCACTATAATGCATAGTGGAAGATACTCACGTGAATTTTTAACCTCGCCTCATGTTTTGTTCGGCCAATTTATTTATTTTGTTAAATACAAAACACATTTTCACCTAATTTAACTTGACAAACCTCACTTTACAAGAGCTTATAGTTCAGTTTGGTTAAGAATATAAGTATGATACTTAATGAAATATCAAAGATGATTATATATTGGATAACATTTCTAGAATTCTAATTTTTTTTTTTTCGCATTTGAAAGATTAATATAAAGTAGAATATTGCCTTGATAAAAACAAGCCGAACTCATTCTAATGACTTATACTTTGAGTTGTACGGACAATTTTACCTTAAGACAATGTCAATAGTTCAAATTTCCTTCTCATTTCTTAAATAAAATAGTAAAAATGAACTTTTGGCTCTCATGTTTTATTCAGTTAATTCAAGAAGAAGTTGAACAATCAACCCTCATATCATATTATCTACAAAATACAGTTTAAGTACAGAATCTCTCAAACATTACCTTTATAAAAAGTCCAAAAACATTTAAGGCTTATAATTAAGGCTGAAATTTAACTAAACGACCTCCAATAGTTGCTCTAATGAAACAAAATAATTACTAGGCAGGTAGAAGGAGCTTTTGCTGTTTGGTATTTGCCTTTCTTTCTTTCTTTTTTCCTTTTTATAAAGGCAAAGACAAGTTAAAGTAGCATTTAATCAAGCAATAGTAAATTCCACTTTAGGATATATATAAAGTGGAATATTGCCCGGATAAAAACAAACTTAACTATCAATAATCTTTCATTCTTTCCCTTAAATTTTCGAGATTAGCTACAATATTTATACGTATTTAGTAAAATTATTTGATAATAAGATGTAACTTATATAAATATTACTATTTAATACAATCCATGTAACTTATGTAAGTACCAATATTTGACGATCGAGTTTCCCTAGAATACTTACATGACTTTTGTGAATATCATCATCTCAAGATTGAGATAGTGACTGTATTAGATACTTTCATTATTTCCTTCAAATTATCAAGTTTTACTACAACAGTTAATTACCATGTCATGGTAAGGCATAACTCATGTAAATATCACATTCTAACAATCTAGATAATAATTATATTAAATATATGTAAATATTGTGAGAAAATAACTCAAACTCAATACATAAAAATAACATATTGCTCTACCCGACTTGATTATATAAGAATTTAGCAAAAGAGAAAAGGAATCAAAAGCCTAATAATTTGGCATCTGAGCTCCTCCTCAAAAAGAAATTAAAAAAAAAAAAAAAAAAAGCACAAGAAATATATAGAGGAGGACGAGTAAGGTCCCACATCCACCCAGCACTGCCCCATCTAGAGCCCCTGACTTCAAAAAAATTTCATTTTATGATCCCCACCCTCCCAAACCCCAACCCAATGCCATGATATCTCCATTAAAAACTTGGTTGCCAAAAAAATGACAAATACAACAAAAGAATAAAAGGGTGAGTGATGATAACCCCGAGCACCCACCCACCTGGCAATCCCTGCTTCAAACACACTACTACAACAACCCTACCCCTCACACGATCCCCATTCTCTTTGTTCTTACATCATTTTCCTTCCCTTTCCTCTCTAATTTTCTCAGGAAACAAACACCATGCTTGATCCCAACACAAACCCACATGAACAGCCATTCCTCTTCAACAGCCGCGCCGACGACGACCAAATTAAAAGTGACACAACAACAAACTACGATTCTTGGCATTCCGTAAATTACGCTTCCCGGGCTCCTCAGAAAACTACTCAAAAATATGGAAACCACAGCATGGGAGGCCGGATCAACGTCGATACTACTACTGCTTCCGGTGACGAGTCTGACTCGCCGCCGTTGTGGAAGACGACGAGCCGCGTGAAGAACTATCGGAGTCTGTCCCCGACTTCGAAAAAACAAGCGATCGCCAGAGGACAGATGGAGCTCATGGAGATGGTGAAGAACATGCCTGAGTCGTGCTACGAGCTTTCGCTGAAAGATCTCGTTGAGCATAAGTATAGGCCAATGGGTGGCGACGAAGAAGAAGATCGAAATCAATATCAAGGTCAAGAGGAAGAATACGATGATAGAAGTACTGAGAATTTGGTAAGGAGGGAAATGGAGACGGAAACGAAAACGAAATGAAGAAAAATGGTGAGAGGAAGAAACTGGTGATGAGGAGTGGGAGTATAGATAGTGGGGGGTTTCTTTTGAAGATGGTTTTGCCAATTTCTTTGGGGGGTAAGAAGAAGAATAATAAGAGCGTTAAGGAGAAGGGTGAGTGCTTGGTGGTGGATGCAAATAGCAATAATATGAGTGCAAAGGTGTCTCCAAAGCCTCAGGGGGTGGATGGATCTGTGAAGGTAGTGGGTGTGGATAATGAATGGTGGAAGATGAAGAGATTTTCTGTATCAGAAAGGAGTGAAAGTGGTGTTTCTAGTATCAATAGTGGAAGCATAAAAAGCAGTGGCAGCGGTAGCAGAAGCAGCAGCTGTAGCAGCAGAAGCAACGGCAGGTATGTTATCAATTTTAACTCGGAGTTTCACTTCCATTCGAGCGATAGGAAATTTATTTTTTCTTAAATTTTATTCTGGAAACCATGCTCTTTAATTTTGAGTTTGTCTTCAATTCATTCATACACCAATTTCCATGATTGTTTTAAAATTTTCGGAACAAGTGATCATTCATTCGTGATGAAAACAGGGGAGTCTTGAGTTTATTAACTTCATGAAAGAATATAAAAAACTTCTAAACCAAAACAAAGTCTATTTAAATTGTGGGTTTGGTATGCGTCTGTGTATGGTGGAATGCTTGCCTGTTAGATCATTTTCCATTGGATCATTGATCGCGCATCAAACACTTGTTGCTTAGGTGCATGTCACACACCCGAGCGTAAAAGAATTTTCGTTTGAATTAACAGAAGCAATCCTCTAAGTAAGCATGTGGGACATTTGGGTGAAACTTGAAATACATCTAAATTTCTTAATTTCGGAGTCTCCATTAACGGAAGAAAGGGTACATGCAAGAAAGCATAAAAACGTGTGGGAACTGGTAAAGTTGCATGTAACTCACTCACATTCTAGAAACTGATTTGCCAAATGTCATGACTATAAGATTGAAACATGTATACAAAGGATTGTTTGGTGCAAAAGTTGTGCAAGTTTTGGGGGGCCTTTTCAAAATTTGGCACCATTAAATTTTTTTTGTGACGTTTACAAAACATTACATTGTAGTATTTTTAGAACTATCTCATCAGATATTTTTCATTTGTCAAAAATATCAACATAGGGCCTATAAAAGTGTTAACTTAGTACAAACAAGTTTAATAATATATACAGCAAATAGTGTTGTAAGAATTAGTGTTTGATTTCTATATATAAGAATCAACTCACAGTCGCATTAGTGAAATAAATCCTTTTACATTATAGCAAATTGTTTTTAGAAAGTATTGAGATTAAAGTGTTTGTCAATAATGGGTAACATTACCTTGAACTTGGAGTTAAAACTCCTCAAAATTACAAGTGACAGATGATATATCAATTTTTAAGAAGTATATGTAAATATATTTTGATGTTTTTATATATAGATTCAGTAGCAGCCATGACATGGCTTGTAAATGGACGGTTCAAACGATCGAATGAGTGAAACTGTACACACATCACTTTCAATATTTAGTTCAACGCAGCACAGAATATTTAACTAAATCCTAATTTTTTGTCCCAAGTCTATTTGTTTTATCTAATTGTGTTTCTGGTTACATGGTTGCAGGCGCAAGAGCAGTGGATGCTGGTCGTTCATCCTGCTCAAGAAGAACAAGAGGCGGGATTGAATGACGATTTGTACCTTCTAGATACAATACAGCATGGAGATTAATATTAATTAAGTGTTTGTGTAATTACGTCTCAAATAAAAATATACTTTTGAGATATTGTAGAATATTGCAAAAGAAAATTGCCGTAGCTTGTGGTGTGTATGTTCTTGAAGATTTTGGGAGAGTTGGTATATCTTTTCATTTAATTAATGGAACTTATAACAATTTCGTGCCTTTTTGTGTAAAATTCTGTTTAAAAAAAATGAAAAACTAAAGAAAAAAAGGTTATTAATCCTTTACGCTTCTCTCTCTCTCTCTCTCTCTCTCTCTCTCTCTCTCTCTTCACATCACGCCTCACTGGATGAAAATTTGTAAAAAGATTTTGTGAACTGGGGATTTGAACCATGCTAGAAATTCCAGAAAATGAGATGATAGTGTTGAGAATATCCAATGTCAGACGATAAAGTCTATAACATGTAAAGGCGCATGTCGAAAGTATTGAGCATGTCAAGCAACCAAGCACAAATATCCGATCGTGCTTTGCTGAATGTGTGTTCCTGCTGTTGATTTCACAAGTATTTGACCCTATAATATGAAAGATATTGTTGGCTTCTTCTTATGAAATAAAAGAAGGAAATTGCTTGTGCTTGGCTTGAAAATTCATGAAGTTTGTTTTTTAAGTAACTTGAAAGAATATAATTATTATGTTTGGAGGTAGGTAGGTAGGCACATATTTTTCTTGCAACAATAGGCCACACTTGTATGCATGGAAAAGGAGTATCTTTGGTATTATAAAAAATAAAAAAAATGTATAGAAAACTGAATGATGATTCCATTCTGCTCTGACCAAACAATAACTAATTACATTGATAAATATATCTATAAAATGGTTGTTCCTTAACTACTTTACAAGAAGTTGATTGCTATTACGAGAATGAAAGATTTTTAGTATGTTCGAAATATAGATACATACGTTATATGTTATTTGTTGCCGTGAGTAATCTTTAGAAATAGGAATGTAAATATTGTGTAAATATTAGAGTCCTTTATTAGGAAGGATATCTCTTGTGTCCTTTTTAGTTTTCCTTTGAGAACAAGAATTGTATGTACTTATATACCAAATTATGCAACACATGAAAATTAAGCCATTAATTTCTATTTGGCATCGGAGCCTAACCGTAACCCTAAAAAATTCTACCGTGCTACTGCTGCTGCGTGTTCAAACTGTAGATTCATGTTCTTGCTGCGTTTGTTGCAGCAAACTGAAAGTTGCAGGAGTATTGCCTGGTGTGCTCTGTGGGCGTAACTGTGTGTGATCCATGGCAGGTGTTATAGAAGGATCAAGGCTAAAATTGGAGGGTGGGTCGCATGGCTCGGCTAACAACTCAATTTTGAGTCTGGTTGTAATTCAGAGTGATGCTTCAAATGTATCAAGTACCGTAAAACTCAATGGATTAAATTATCCTCTTTGGTCCAAAGTATTGGAGATGCATATCGCTGGGCGTGGTAAAAAAGGGTTCGTGACAAGGAGTATTAAGAAGCCTAAGGAAGACAGTGCTGAGTATGAAACTTGGGAGACTGGAAATGCAATTGTGAAAGGGTGGTTGATTAAATGCATGGATCCTACCATCATGAGGTTTTTCATCCATCTTTGTACTGCTAAAGAAGTATGTGCTATTGACTTGAAGACACTTCAAGAAGAAATCCAACTGGACTGTGCGTATGCTTTTCTAACAGGACTTGATGATATATTTGATAAGGTACATAGTGATATTTTGAGAACTCAACATTTACCATCCGTCGTGGAAGTGTTTTTGTTGTTAGGCGGGAAGCACAATGCCATGCTACTATGATGGGAGGCACTGTCGTTGGGAATCAAGGAGGAACACCTCATTCGCCTATGATGTCACAGCCACCATCGTATCGCCGGTCATATAGCTCGTCGTCATCAACAAATTCTCTCCCATTTACTCAAGAAAATAAAGATAATTTGAAGTGTACTTTATGTGGGCAAACCCGTCATACAGAAGATATATGTTTTCAAAAACATGATGTACCTAAATAGTTCCTAGAATTGAAGAAAAAGTTGTGTGTAAATGAGCAAGCTACTAATGGAGCTAGTGGGAGTCGTGCATCCGTAGCCACTGCAACACCTAGTAACAAGGAGGCCGTGCAGATTCAAAGGGATCTAAGTCAAACTTTGTTGACTAGGATCAATTCTAGTGAATCCTCGCCCAATACAGGTACTGTTGGACGTGTTCTTTTAGCCTCTAGTACTGAACACCATACAGGTTGGATTCTGTACTCTGGTGCAACTGATCATATGACATTCGATAAAAAGTTATTTACGTGTATGACAACAACTCATCAAAAGTGTGTAGCAATGGCGAATGGCACCATTACCATGGTGACTGGGGCCGACATGGTGGACCTCACACCGTCTCTCTCTCTTCACCACTGCTTGCTTGTTCCGTCATTTTCTCATCATTTATTATCTATTCCCCCACTTACTGAGCAATTGGATTGTGTTGTACTTATGTATCCGTTTTTTTTGTTTACTTTAGGATATTCAAACCAAGGAGATAATTGGGCTTGACACTAAGATAAAGGGGTTGTATTATGTGGATGACGTCGTTCCTTGCAGAACTAATGTAGTTCGAGCATCCCGTACTAGTAATCTGCAAGAAGTTTAGTTGTTGCATCATCGATTAAGACATGCTTCTTTTGGTTATTTAAGGCATATATTGCCTAGTTTGTTTCATGAAATAAAAGAATCATACTTACATTGTGAAGTATGTATTCTTGCTAAGAGCCATCATGCTTTGCTTTCTCCTAGTATGAATAAGAGATTGTTCCCGTTTGAGCTTGTGCATTCAGATGTTTGGGGGCATTCGCTCGTTAATACCGTTTCAGTGGTTAAGTATGAGTTGAAACATAAAAGTGATGTTAGTATGATTATTCGATCTTTTTCTCAGATGGTGGCTATACAATATTCCTTTATTATTAAGGTTCTTTGTTTTGATAACAGGGGTGAATATGTTAACTCTGAGCTATCTTCTTTTTTTTCCGTTCCTCCATGAAACAAGTTGTCCTCATACCCCATAACAAAATGGGGTTGCTGAGAGAAAAAATTGTCATATTTTGGAAACTGCTCATGCATTGCTTGTTGGTGCGTCCATACCTAAGAGTTTTTGGCCGGACATGGTCGCATATGCAGTGTATGTAATTAATCGCATGTCATCACGGGTTGTAGAATTCTGTACTCCACTCCAAGTATTGACGGAACATGTTCCTGGTGTCTCTACCAACACTCTTACTCCTCGGGTGTTTGGATGTGTTGCTTATGTTCATATCCACAAGATTCATCGTAGTAAATTAGATCCATGTGCTCTTTGATGTGTCTCTGTTGGATTTGCATCCCAACAAAAAGTTTATAAGTGTTATCACCCTGAAACCCGCCACATGTATGTCACCACAGATGTGACTTTTTTTGAATCGGAATATTTTTATCCTCCAGCATCGTCACCTTCTGATCACAAGGGGGAGAATGCTAGTATTTGTGATCTTGATGGTGTTTTTGTGTGGTTGGATGTACAAGACATACTTTCTTCAGGGGGAGTGCATCGTGATAATGACAATGCCATACCGATTGATGTAGTAGAGCTGCGGTCCCTTCTTGCTGAGCCTGCTATAGGGGTTCAACCATTGATTGCTGAAGAAAGGAATGCCAAGAGTCCCTGTGCTGGTGTTCAAGCAGCTGTTGCCGAAGCCAGCAGCCCCAAGACTTGTGCTGAAGTTGCTTTTCCTCTTTCTAGCTTTATAGTGCCGTCTCCAATACGTCTTCTCTGAATATCCCTGAGGTAAGTACTATTGATGCTCATGTAACTAATGATGTTATAAGTACATATAAGTTGCCACCAAGGCAAAATTGTGGTATGCCCCCTCACAGGTTTTATCCGGAAGGAAAAGTAAAGTATCCAATAGCCAATTATATGTCATGTAAAAATCTTTTACCCAAAAGTTAAGCTTGAGTGAACAATGTGGAGTAAATTCAAGTACCAACTCGAGTAAAGGATGCTTTGAAGAATCAAGAATGGGCTGAAGCAATAGATGAAGAGATGAGGGCATTACAGAAAAATAATACATGGGAAGTAGTGAAGCTGTCAAAAGGAAAAATACCAGTTGCGTTCCAACGGGTTTTTACAGTTAAATACAAGGCTGACGGATTACTCAATAGGTAAAAAGCAAGGTTGGTACCAAAAGGATATAAACTTTTTCTCCAGTAGCCAAGATGAATACGGTATGAGTTCTTATCTCATTAGCTACAAATTTGGATTGGCCATTGAAACAGTTTGATGTAAAAAATGCTTTTCTTCATGGACATCTAGAGGAGGAAGTGTATATGGATTTTCCTCTAGGATATAACATTGGGGGAAAAATGGGAGTGTGTCAATTGTGGAAGTCACTTTATGGGCTTAAGCAGTCACCTCATGCATGGTTTGGGAGATTCACTCAGGCTATGAGGAAGAATGGGTATTATCAAAGTCATTCTGATCATACTCTATTTGTGAAACGGAGAAACGGTAAAGTAACAACCTTAATTTTTTACGTGGATGATATCATAATAACAGGTGATGATTCAGATGAGATTGTGAAACTGGAAAAAAACCTTGTTGCCGAGTTTGAGATGAAGAGTTTGGGTGATTTAAAGTATTTTCTCGTAGTAGAGGTTGCTCGTTCATCCGAAGCTATTTTCTTGTCTCAATGGAAATATGTTCTAGATTTGTTAAAGGAAACATGTATGCTTGGGTGTAAACCTGTGTATACTCCTATTGTGGAGAAACATCAATTGGAAATTTATTCGGATCAGGAACCAGTAGATAAAGGCAGATATCAGAGATTGGTAGGAAGACTAAATTATTTAGCCCATATTCGTCTGGATATAGCCTATGCAGTGAGTGTAGTGAGTCAATTTATGCACTCACCAAATGTGGATCATATGGTTGCTGTTATGCAGGTTTTAGCTTATTTAAAGTTGGCCTCGGGAAGGGAATTTTGTATAAAAATTCCGGTCATTTAAAAATTGAAGGGTTTACTGATATTGATTAGGTAGGTGATGTGACTGATAGGAGTTCTACTTCTGGATACTTTACGTTCGTTGGTGCAAATTTAGTTACTTGGAGGAGCAAGAAACAAAAGGTGGTGTCTAGGTCTTCTGCAGAGGCCGAATTCACAGGTATGGCGCATGGAGTAT